TTCAAGGGGTATCGGGCAGAATGGTCCTGGAGAAACAGGACCCTGGGAAGCTCCCTGGATGGCACCAGGGGAGTGAAGGTGAGTCTGGTAAGGGTAGGAGACAGTCTTTACATACCTGCAGGGTGCTTGTGGTGCAGAGGCAGCGATGGCAGTGGAAGAGCAGTAGGCGCAGCGGTAATGCCGCTTTGTGAGCTCCTGCTTGCTGCACGTTGCCGGGTGCACCGGGGCTGATGTCGTATCCAGGCATCCTGCAACTGTGAGCAGGAGAGATGGGGAAGCACAGAGGCAGCATGCCAAGCCCTGTGGTGGTGAGGTCTTGGCTGGCACCACGCAGGTGGGTGAAGAAACCAGCTTGACAGACCGGAGGCTTGGAGGGGCCTTCGGCACCAGAGGCAGCAGCTCCCTATTCGCTTTGCTCAGCCCTTTGCAACTTCTAAAGAGACTTCCATCATACCCCCCATTGGCCTTCTCCTTTGCAAATTGAAGACTTGTAGCCATTTTAGACTTTCCTGGTATGGCAACTGCTCCATACCCCTTATCACCTTGGTTGCCCATCTCTGTATTTTTTCTAATTGTACTGTACTGCATACTTTTTCACAGGTGGAGACCAGAACTGAACACAGCATTCATAATGTGGCGATACTATGGATTTGTATAGTGGCAAGACGACATTTTCCATCTCTGGAGCAGCCCAAACAGCAAAGATATCCTAGAGCCACTGTTCTTGCAACGTTGGGCTACCTAGCCATCTGCCAGGCAAATACTTATCTAGGTTTGGTTTGAAGTCTATTAAAACAGAAAAGTATCTATGGAACATTTGGGTTTGGACAAATCAGCATTTTCTGACCATGGTTTTGTATGGAAAATTTCTCATCAGCTCTAGTCAGGAATTGTTCTCCGTTCATATTTTCTATTTGGCCTCCCCTAAAGCTGAAGATCAGTTTTATCTCCAAGTGTCTATCTGCATCTGGACCCGCTTAGTGTAGTCAGATGACAACTTCTTATTTCCACTTCTAAGCTAAAAGGAAAACCACAACATATCTGTCCAGCCACATCTATTCAGAGACATTCCCACTCCTTTTAAGACGAATCAGAGATGGGTCACTACTCTATTTCTTTGACATGTTTTTTCATAAAGTAGCCACTTTTCATTATTTCCTCAAATCAGCTCATTTTTCTGCTGTTAAAAATGGGGTGTTGACAAAAATACACCTTCTGTTACTCTTGTTCTTATGGCAAAAACAATAGAGGGCTCTAAGAAAGGAATCTGACTGAAAGCAATGAGGATTTGGACATGCATGCAGAATGGTGTTAAATAAATATAACTGGAGGAAACATAAGAGGATACTGAGGTCCCTGACAGTAGAGTTTGCAGAATTGTTTGTCATTGGCCATGAGATACTGGCCTGCAAGGAAACAGCCTTGTGTTTAGAACACAGCCTGAGTGTGCAGGGCTGGCAGCCAAGAGGAAAACCACCTTTTTTTACTGCTGCGAGTTGTGTCTTTGAAAAAAATTAAGTATCTCTTGGAGATGTGATCCATTTGGAAATCCATGCTGTCACTGAAAACTTCTGTTTCAACAAAACCAGAATTTTATTGGCAGAGTATAAAAATGGAAAGAAAACAATAAAGAAAGCACATCTTAACATGAAGAAGTCTTAGGGATATTAGTCCAGGTTCTCCGAAGTGCTTAGTTCTCACAATGCGGAGCAAAGCCCATGGGGGTGGAACACTTGATTCTCTGCTCTATTTCTGGCTCAGGAGCAAGTTGCACAGCCTGTATCAAATGCTGTCCTTCAAAATTATGATGACCCCTCTCAGCTTGTCACCCACTGATTTCACTAAATGCAACCTCTAGCTTGTCATCCAAGTGATTTAGAGAAATGCTGAGTAGTATTTCAGTATTTAAGGAAGCTCAAGGAAACATCCTTAGACCTTGAGGCGAACTATGGAAAGTCCCTCTTTGAAGCTGGTTGTTTTCAGCTAGTTGTATACCTTTCTTGCAGTGGTCTCACCTAAACCATATTCCCCCAATTCCTTACAACAGTGTCATGTAGGAGCAGTGAACAAAGCCTTTCTAGCATCAAGATATATCACATTTCCTGCTTCCTCTTTATCCATTTTATCCTGTACCTTTTATGTTCATAAATTGACTTTTTACTAGTTAGTTCTACTATAATAATTTGTTCCACATATCAAACTAAACAGACTGAGCTACAATTCCCTGAGTCCTCCTTTCTCAACCTTTTAAATAAAGCATCTGTCTTGTTCTTCTTCAGTAATCTGGGACCTCCCATGAGCAGCATGATAACTGCTAGTTAACTGCTAATGGTTCTGAGACGTTTCAGTTGGTTCCTTTAGTATGACGGGGGAGGAATATGTTCATACTCCATGGTTTAGATGATTTTTATAAACAGGGAAGGCACATTCTCAGCAGGTGTCAACTGGCCTTGCTCCATTGATTTGCATGACCTGAAGATCTGGCTCAGTGTCCTCTGGATGGACAGTGTAGATGTATTCAGAGCACAAATCTTTTATTTGACAATTCATTTCACAGAATTATTTCACATCTGTATTATTTTCCCAGCCTATCTGTAAATCTATTGACTTGTTTTTCATCTGCCACATATTGCATGTTGAACAGTTTTTCCTGAGAACACCAACTTTTCTACATTCCACAGACTAAATTAGGGAAAGCAATTTTCCTTTTCCAAAGGGCAGATGCTGCAGAACTGGGTGCCAGGCTTCTTTCTACCTAGATAATCATATTATGCTGATAGGAAGCATATGCAATATCAAATCACACATTTTCAAAATACTGCTTAAGATAAAAATGAAACCCTTGAGTGTTTTTAGAGGTCTTCCTGCTGAAATAGGTTTTGTTCAAAATTTCCATCCAAATCCAGATCAGAGTTATCCTTCTGTTCTTGGGAAAGTTCTAGGACCATCTGTAACAAACAACAACGAAGAGTCTCTAGTTATATCTCAGAGCCAGTAACAAGTATATATAATAATGATGATTATTTTTGTACAGGCAATGTCTGGGCTCGCAAGCGTTCCAAAGAACAACCTCATTCAAAACCAGGCTCTCTATCCATCCAGATTCACACTTCACACAAGCAACATCCAATTGCCCTGTAATTCAGTTCACTAGGGCTTGGTCCAACACTTGGGAATGCCTGTCATCCTCTGTAAAGGTCTGCAGTTTTTGTTCACGTTCACTTTTACATACAGTCCAGAAGACATAATTCATACTGGGTCTTTGTAGATGCAGGGTCTACACAGAGGCCACTTTTCCTACTACACTGGTCTGCAACGTGGGAGTGACGGGGAAGCGAATCCAGGGACATGAAGGGGCATTTTCCATCCTTTTACCTTGACTTATGACTATAGAGGATACACTGTGCTCTGAGCCTGACTAATGCAATGAATATTGGTCTCTTGTCTAAATCTAATAAATGCATGCTGTTGCCTTCAGTGTTCCCTCCAAATTTCTGCAACTTGGACAAATTGTGCATGCATGTTCCTTTATCACACACATAAAATCCTGTGTATAAGTTCAAAATCACATACCTGTGCCAAAGTGTTCAAGGAGAAGGTGTATTCCTCAAAGCCAAAGGATCTTTTGGCTGTGGAGACATGAAAAAAAAAATGGTTAAAAATATTCTCCAGTCATACAAATCCTTGCATGAGTGACCCTTTTCTTCTATGAATAATTTCATTCCTACCTCTCTCCATCTTAGAGAAAGCCTGGGACAGTGGCAGGGCATCTTCCATTGGTACCTTGTAGACTAACAAAGAGGAAAACCTAGAAGAAACAAAAAATGAATCTGTCAGTCTGTGTCTATCAAGAACCAACACATGGGGGCTGGAATGGAAGGGCACTTCATTGCCTGGCCAGGTGATGGGCGAGATATCATGACAATCTCCAGTCAGCTAGTCCTCTGGAGATGGGGACCCATCCATCTCTTCCAAAACACAGGCTCTTTATTGAGCTGAGACATTGGTTGTGGTCTGCTCTAGTGAGAATACAACTAGGATATAATGAGTCACTTCACAAGGGGCCAGCCATGAATCACTGAAACCTAGAGCAGGTTTGGCAGTTACCGTTCTTGGCGAGCTGCTTGTGGGAAGATCTTCAGAATCTCTGTGTGGAGCTGATCAGCTTGCTCAGAGTCCTTCAATTTAATCTCCAGTAGGTAACCTTTGCCAAACTTGCTTTTCAGGTACTGAATGGAGCCAATGCACCTGTCAAGACAGGAATCAGCACAATGTGACACAGAGTAGCAGACAGAAAAAAGCTTTAATTCATGGCACAGCATCCGCTTTAAAGAAGTCAGTTAAAGTAATTGATTTGCTTTCAAACATCTATCAGTTCTCTAAGGAACATGCATTTACTGATCTTGCTATGATATGACCTACTGGATCCAACCAGACACCAAAATGGCCACTCGGTCACACACCGCCTCTGCCTCCTCCATGCAGTGGGTTGTCAGAATGGCTCCTTGCTGCTTGCTCTTCAGTGCACTGCGAATCACCTTCCTGAAAACAAAGAGGAAAAAGATATGTCACAGGAACAGCCAAATAACGTTTCCAATACACTTTCCGCTCAAAACGTTAACCTCCCTATATTATGAACTATATCAAGATACTTTGAAATAATGATCAAATACCCCATTTATGGCCAAAATCCATTTGTGGATTGTCCTGAACTAAGAGCTGCTATAGTGCTAAGCAGGTGATGGAGACCTGTAATTAATACTGTTTTCTGGACTTGCTTTAGCTGAGATGTAGGTCTCCTTGTTCAGCAAGAAGACTGTTACTGCAGTCTTTTGATTCTAACACCATCATTCCTTTCTGAGAAAAGAACTGTAAGTCACACTTGGCATATGTGAGGTTGACCTCCTATAATCTTGACTTTTACACATGGAGGAATTGTATGAATGCTTTAAAAATACCAAAACAGATATTTTTTTCAGTGAAGTTTAGATTTTAACACTTTTAGTGTATTTAAGCCTTTGGCTCCTTTCCCTTGGTTATTTGATTCTTCTGTGGGATTTTGTCAGGGCAACAGCAGGTCAAGATATTTATCTCAATAACTCCTGAAAAAGTTGGGACAAAGTTGTTTCTAAAAAACAACCTGAAAATATGGGGTCAAGTTATATGTAGGATCAACTTATAATGAAAATGATACAGAAGTTTGTTTCAGGTCTTACAACTTCAAAATTAAACAACCATTCAGGTATGATAAAGCAGTTCAGAAGAGGATAGACACAAAAACCAAAACTCTGCTCCTTGTCCTCAGCAGAAACTAAGTCCCAGCTGACCGTTTTTCTAGACGATGAAAAGCTGGGATGGGAACTTCCCCAGAATTGTCAATGAACCTAAAATTGTGTAGAAAGCTCTGTGCCTCTGCACCTTGAACCTGGAGAGTCAAAGAGAAGGCAGAAAGCACCGATACAGTGACCCAACCTTCTTGCACAACAGCTGTGAAGGAGTTAGTCTGAATCAGCAGTGTGCTCATCTGCTTTGCTGCCTAATATGTTCTTGTACTGAAGCAACCTGGTGATAAACTTCAAAGCTTATAGGATGGCAGGCATCTTGGTATGAACTCACGACAGAACTGGAGAACTTCCAAGTGAAATGCCTGAGTTCCTTTCACCTTCATCTGAAGGGTCTCATGTGAGGGCAAACAACTGTGACAAAGCTGGATCATCTCTGGCTCAGCACACCAAAACATGGGTTACAAGAAGATTTGCATGCTGATATACATAAAAATAAGTTCCTAAATTCATATTGATGTACTGTCAATAAAGTGTCCTGATTTTCCAAAACACTTAGAGATCACCCAGTCACAGTGACCTGAATATCAGAACACTTCCTTAGGTGCCCAAATGTGGACATAGAAACCTAACCTAGTCTTCACACTCAGTACTTTTGCAATATGCGGATTTAGTTCTTATGCCAAATTTATACTAACCATTAGCACAGGCATTACTCACCACACTTGACTTTGTCCCCTTGGGTCCATTCCAGCTGATGGCTCATCCAAGAGCACAACTGTTGGATTACCCAGGAGGCTGAGTGCTAAACACAGCTAAAATGGGAGAAAGACATCAAATCAAGTTCTGGGGTTTTTTTGTTATGACCAGGCAACTGTTCAGAAACCAGTGCTGGTGTGCCTGGCCCAATGCATCTTGGAAAATGAAACATTTCTTTTAATTTTAATGGGAACTTTGAAATATCTGTATTGGCAACAAACCAAAATATATCAACTTTCTATAGAACAAAGGTTGGATTTCCTTGTCTCTGCCCTATGCCAACACCCACCCATGTCTATCACATCTGCTTGTGTGTGCACTCCCCCATATAAAAGTGTACACACACCCACACACCAGTGTAAAGTTACAGTCAGCAACTTCACACTGCCCATATGATGCAGCATTCTGTCCTACAATAGCTGAACAATGGACATAATCTGTTTTGAAGTCATAAGGAAAGGTCAACTGTCTGTCCAAGCTGGCATGGCTGAGACACCAATGTCTGTAGCCACCAATAGACAAGGGAATTTTGTAGCCAGCATCACGTCCATCAGTCTTTGACTTCACAGTCAATCATGGTGACCTTCTGTATAAGACCAGCGGCTTAACCTCATATGTCCAGAGGTCTGGTCAGATGTCCTGGACATTGCCACTATGTCCCACCCCAATGACCAGATGAAGCACAAATTGATGCCCAAATTCATCATCTCATGGAAAACAATGGGAATCTTATCCATGCAACTAAAAAGAAAATGAGGCTATTTTAAACAATATCATTGTTACAATGATCACCAAACAAAAATCCTTGTTGTGTCCTAAACACAATTCACCAGCTGCTGCTTTAATAGGGACACTCATAGAGAGTTTTTCTTGTTGTCCACAACATTACAAAGCAAAAATTGCTTTGAAACTATGACAGTCACATGCCACACATATTTATGTTCATTCAAATGTTCAGGGTTAAATCCACTGACTGGAGCGAAGCTTCCCCAGGTGTAAGACTTGCGTAATTAAGAGAATAACTTGGCCCAAGATTTAACACAAAAGCAGCAGAACACACCTTCCTTGTTATCCAGGCAGGTAATTCCCTGGCTGCTTTCTTAAAATACTTCTGAAGTTCCAGAGCCTTCACTATTCTGCAGAGGGAAAAGAAGTAAAATGAACACTTGGTTTCTTGTCCCCTAAATGGTTCTCTGAGACTGGTAGCCAAGTGAAAAGAGTAGGCTTCTTCTTCTTCTGGGCTTGTTAACTAGGTACCATGGGAAAATTCACACCTAGGGAAGGACACTGTGGTTCTCAGAAGAGAAGCCAATTTTAACTTTACAGCGGGTAGCTCCTGCCGGCATTTTTTTAAAAGGATGAACCTGAATAAGGAAAGTCCTTTCAAGCTGGCAGTCCCTGGCAGCACAGAAACATTTTCCTAATAAAAATGACTACTACAGATAATCATGTTGTAACCCAGGAGTGGCCAATCTGCAGCATGAGTGCCACAAAAACATAGGGAGCTTCTACATGGGGCATGTACCAGATTGGAGAGGGGGCAGGGAGCAGAAAGCAGATCAGGCAAGGGAAGGAGATCAGAGTGGCACTCAAGGAGGGCATGCAGATTGGTGTCACACCTGATAAAAAGGTTGTTCCCCACTGTAATAAGTCTAAGCTCAGCTTAAATGAGCAAGTTTGTGTAGGCAAGGCCAAGAGAGAAGCCTGTGCTCCAAAAGTACTATAAAAACTTGCTTCCTTTGTTTTATTTAAGTGAGAGATCTAGCTCTGAGGGATTGTAGTCCTTTGCTCTCTGTGCCCTGTCATGCGGAGATACAACACACTACAAAAACAGTTTCTATCCATACTGAAAGATGGTGACAGCAGCATCTTCTTTCCTCAGCCCTTTCACTGCTGCATAAATCTCCAGATGCTCCTGCATGGTCAGGGTTGGCCAAAGAGGGTTCTCTTGAGGGCAGTAGCTTAGGAAGCCAGGGGCGCTGGCTTCCAGTTGAGATCCAGCTGCATCCTTCCCCTCTGCCAGCACCTGCACAAACAATCAGATATCCTGTCCTTGCAGTAGTGGATGCAGGATTGTGCAAAGGGCTGGGTGGAGGAAGAGTAAGGTCAGTGCAGTGAGTTCACTGTACATGTGCAGGCTGGTTGAGACAGAGCTCTTGGCTACATATGGGGGTGCAGTTGCTCTGCTGCACCCCCTGCCCCAGATCCACCCCCATGTTCTTGCATAATCATTTACAAAGGTACAAGGGCAGAGTTGAAATGAGAGGAAGGTCACATGGGGTTTGAGAAAGGAAGATTATTGAACAGAGGCCTAATCCCACAAGCTTGCTTGCCTGAGCACTCTCACTAGATCACTGAGTAAGGGTTCAACCCTAGCACAGGCTTTCCCTTTTTCTGCTATGTTACTGCTTTACAGGGAAACCAGCTGTAGATATTCCCTGTAATGGTACTTACTGTGGCACAAGACTTAAAAAACGCGTAAGAAGCAACACATAATTATTTCCAGGTTTAGTGGAAATTGGAGATGGCCTCTTTTAATTGCTGCTCACTTGCATTGTTTAAAAGACAATTAGCACAATGCCTGGGTGGGATGTATGCTTTCAGTTCTACAGATTTGGCTCCGTATGATTCACAGAAATAAAGTTAAAATACTTTGTTACCTTACTACAAGAAAAAAATCATATATTAATTACACTGATGGTTATTTTTTCATCATTTTTCACAATGCGCTAGGCTACAAATTGGATCTGAAATATCACTTTGTTTTATTCTATTTATGGATTAGGAGTAGTCGCAAGGTTTTCCATTCACCCAGGTCTTTAGACTCCTTCCCTTTCCTCCACCCACCTGCCCAGCACTCAGTGTGGTCTCTCCAGCGATCATATTTATGGTTGTGCTTTTTCCAGCTCCACTGGGTCCCAGCAGTCCAAATATCTCTCCTAGGTAAACATACACAGATTTTCAGTTAGACTTAGTTTTCCAAATAGTAGCAGACACAGTCATCATTACAGTAAAAGGGAACAAGAAAACTCTTATACTTCTAACCTTTTTTCACACAAAACGAGATGTTTTTAACAGAAACTTTCTTCTTATTCTTAAAAACAGAACCAGCTTTCTTGACTTCATATTCCTTGCGTAGATTACTGACAATGATCAATGGTTTCTGGGATGAGAGTTGGGAGAAGAATAAATTCTCTTAATCACACAAGACTGTACAGTTGTTCTTTTTGTTAATATAGATGTTACTAGGCCTGTGCGAAGCAGCTAGTATTTGCTCTGGATTCGGCCAGTTCAGGGGACAACAATTTGATTTGGTTGAATCTGATTTGGAGATTTGGCTGCTGCTGAATCAGCTGAATCGGACTGGCCCCATGCCTGCCCGCTCTCCCAATGCCCCGATGGTTACCCCACCCGGCCCAGCTCCTGGCTCTTAAAAAAAAAAAAAAAGCTTCAAACTCACTGGTTCCTGCCAGGCCGGGAGCGGAGGTGGGGGGAGGTTGTTTGTGATCCCTGCTGCCCCCCACTGCCCTGCGCTGCAGGCTAGGCACTGGCCACACTTTCAATTAAAGGCATGTAAGGAACCAGGCACAAAGTTATTACACCTATTTTGTGCGATAACTTTGTGACTTATTCCTTCCTTTATCATGCCGTTAATTGAATGAACATGTGGCCAGGTCAATACTTGGTTTGTCTTAAGCATAATGTTTTTCAGGGGCCTCAGAATCCTATTCCAGTGATTACTCATTTTAAGTTGTCTCAGAATAAAAGTTCTGTTTATAAGCTGAATTTTTATTTCTAATTCTATCTGATTTTTTTGTTTCCATTTAGAAAGTCAATTTCAACTCACAGGAATAGGGGGAAAAAAAGAGAAGAAATAACTGGATTTCCTTATTGTTGTTGATATTATTTTACCTGGGTATATCTTTGCAATACTCACACGTACTTATTGGTAAACACACAGACAGAAAAGAACAAGAGCTAGTTTTACCTCCCCCTCATGCTGAGAAGCTATTGCATGCCTAATCTTTGCCCTTTCTGTTTGAACATCTTCATCCTCCTCTTCTGGCTCTTCAGGATTCTGATGGCAAGGCTCTTTCCTTGGGGAGATTCTGTGGATTAAAAATAGCAAAATATCAAACATCAAACTTAACAGTGCCAGTTTATGTTAGCATGTAGAATGCCTATAAACAAGCCAGGTATATACCCTGGCTCTTTCCTGTGTCCCAATTTCTGAAATATAACAGAGTAAGGTGCTCTTTCCCTAGTCCTTTGACTCATTCACTGCTGATTCTTTGCACTATATGAAGCAGTGTTGCTTTAGAATCAAGTTATCAAAGAATATATCCTGAAAGACATGCAGGCTTCTTTTCCTAACTTTTGAATGCTTGGCCTTTGCAAACTTAACACCAAGTTATTAATAGTATTTTTAAATGTATTAAATAAATAATTACAACTTGTGGGGGGTGGAGAACTGGAGCAGGGTATGATGACTTCATGGGTAACCAGATGGAACTAATGGTTGGTTTACTGGCTGGGTTAGAAGCCAAACCGTTTGAATCCACATCATAGACCACCACCCTGAGAGCTAATGAGGATCTTCACAGAGGACGAGTAGGTTATTCTCTGGAGCTGGTGGTATCAATTACTCCAAGAACTTCAACATTTTTAAACATTCAAACCATTTTTTGTATTACCCATTTCTAATGCCTCATTTTAACTGAATCTTTTGATTACAGTGTTCTCCTAGAGTGTGACAAATAAAAGGTTTCTATTCCCACAGTATTTTGATATAGTTTTTGATATGTAATATGGATAGTTTTATGACTTCTTTTTAAAGAAAGAAAGGGCATTACATGTTGTGAAAAGCTGACATTCTTGTGACAATTTTGCTTTCAAGTGTATGCACTCACTCACATGTGTTCTCACAAACCTAAAAACTGGATCCCCTCTCAGAACTGCTCTTCCATATTTCATTTCCAAATATCGAAGCAGGAAAATGAAAGCCACACAGTGGATGTAAGGCTGAAAGAAACAAAGAATTCAGTTCCTGGCATATCTGTTTCTCATCTAATCTATCTCACTTACAACACTGTTTTAAATAATCCAAGGAAAATTCAATGAAAAATGTCCAGCTTTCCAATTTCAATATTAATTCTGAGAATATTATTCTGGGTTGTGTAGGTAAGCTACTAGGGCTATTACCTTTACATCATCTAACCCAGCACAGAGCAGATTAAGACAGCATGGTGATAAAATGTCAGTAGCCAGTGATATCTCGTCTATCCCAGCATGACTTTCCTTCTTATCAGTAGTGCCAACATGGTGGTAAAAACAGTTCAAGCTGGGTGGTGAAAAGTGTAGCATAGGGAAATAAACATCTAGCTCCCAGGATCTTAAAATTCAAACTAATTCTGAGGCCTACAAAACTCTGCTGTACCTTACAGAATTTAACACTGCATACTACATCCACACACTTGTTAAATATTGCATAAAACCACACATTCTAACAAAAAACTGAGAAATCACTTTCAATTCATAAAGACAAGTGTGCAGAGTAAGGATTGGGCTTCATGTGTGATCTGTGGCTTATTTTATTCCCCCCCTCCTCTTTCCAATAAGCAGTGTTATTTCTGAGCAGCAGAGTGAAAGATTGGAAGCTTCTTAACCAAATTCTACTGGCATTTAAGTGCTACGGAGCTTGATGCACTATTTGTCTGCAAACACCGCGAATACTGAGGGAATGATCATCCGGCATCAACTTTGTTAGGCTGGCCACATCATCCGGATGTCTGACTAACTACAGACTCGCAAAGCAAGTTTTATTCTCCCAACTCATCCAAGCAGAGGGCACAAAAAGTGCTTCAGGGATGTCCTCAAGGCCAGTTTAACAAAATGCAACATGGATGTCAACTCATGGGAAACTTTAGCTCAGGACCACCCCAAATGGAGGAAGAGTCTGCTGCAGGGATCTCAGTACTTTGAAACCTCATGACACCAATGGGAGATGGAAAAGTGGGAGTAGCAGAAACAGAGTGCCACGGAGCAAATAAAAAATCCAGCGCCACCCCCCACAAATGGCAACACACGTCTGAGCTGCAGTAGAATCTGTTGATCCTGGATAGGCCTCATCAGCCATCCTTGGACACACAGATAAGACAATCGTGGAAGACAACCATCCTCGACAGCACAAGATTGCCAAAGAAGACCATTTGTCCTATTTTCTCGTTAATGTAGACCTCAGCAGTCTCTGTATAGGTGACAAACAAGCCCCTAGATTCACAGACTAAACCCAACATTAAGCCACACTGGACAATACCACCACTTTATATGCTGGATTTTGTCACAGTATCTAGAATTTGCTATCTGGAAATATTATACAAATGTAAGTTATGTTCAGTCCATTTAGACATGTGCCCTTTACAAAATAAACTAATTTCCAAATTGTTTCTTACTGCAAAGACGGCTACGAATAATTCATTCTTGCTATTGCCCAAAAGTTGATAAAAGTCGAAAACCTGTTGGAGGAAAAGAAGCACTGAGTGGTAAACCTGCAGTTCTTCAGTATAGCATGAACAAGTGTTGGGAATGGAAGATAAATGAGAAAATATTTCAGAAATGTCAAAGAATAAATGCATATACTTGAATTTTGGTGTCCAAATATTATTCAGGAGAGTCAGACTCCTGAATACATGCACCAAACTTTTCCTTTCAGGACTAATGGGTTTTTGGGAGGCCGGAGCACAGAGCAGAAACATCCCTTTGATTGCTCTGCTCCTGCAATTCCAAGATCCTTCTCCTCACCTCTTTTGAGGAGAAGAGGAGAAAGCCTTCTACAGAGAGTGGAGCTCCTCAGTCACCTGGACACTTCTGAAACTCCCCCCACTCAAAGAACCACAGTAAGTCTTTGCAATGTATCATTTTCAATTACTGGAATTATTTAATACTAGGAAACCATTCCCTCTCTGCCTAAAACACTCGGCCAATTATACATGTAGTGTCTTGCTGATCTAACACAGCCACTTACCCTGGGAACAGCAATTACAAAGCCTATTAACGGATACAGAGGAATGAAAATGGAGATGAGTAAACTGGAAATTCGGAGATTAAAAGTAAACTGAAGGACTTCGCTGAGTGTAAAGGTAGCTGTAGTTACCTAGAACAAAGCAAGAGAATTGTTTACGCTGAAGAAAAAGTCACCTTCCTCCTTTGTATCTAAAAACTGTGCAAATCTATAATTTGTATCAGCAGACACCACTTACAAAGCCTAATTACAACACGGGACCATGGGAGGTGTCCAAAGGAATAAGAGCCAGGAGGTTGTGCTGGTAGGAAATAAGGAACACTTCTGTCACTCCACTGCATTAGCAGTGCTGGCACCGCTCTTTTTACCTCAATATTTAGGGTTCATCAAAAGCACCAGCCCTGAGCATTCAAACAGCATCTTAAATATACAGCAATTTAAAAGAATTAGATTCTGTTTTTCGAATTGCTCAGGAAGGTGGAATGATTTTAATGGTTACTTTAATCATTACTTAAACCAGTAACCAGGGAACCTGGATTTACATCAATTTTAATCCTGTTTTGTAGCCAATATAATTGTTTTTCCCCCACTTATTTTCAAATTAATATTACCATTACTGTGAAAGGATTCAACTAGAATGTCTCACCCTTGAAGATTTAAAGCAGGAACGTTAAAGCAAACCATACAAAACCCCCACCCCACACTCTGAAAATGTTTTAAATAACTTTTACGGCTAAGTTAGCATTTCTCTGTGGACGTAACACAATTGGAGAACAAATACAACTTCAGGCTTCTTAAAAGGTAAGCATGTGCAGGTAACACCCCTTCTCCTAGTCCTTGCTCTTGGGAGGCTGGTGATGCTGCTGTTGCTTTTAGACTTGGATTTACAAACTTGACAACAAAAACAGATTTTCTAACTGACTCTTTCATAAAATGAGTGTCATTTTCTTCTTCCTGAAGTTGCACAGGGTGTTTCCACTTCTATCCCATCATCTCAGCCCCCCACAGCATGAAGCACAGTTTTACAAACAACACAGAACGGTCAACATCTGCTTACCGCGATGAGGGCACAAGACAAAAATAGACTGCTGCATCCCTTGCAAAATATGAAGGCAATTAAATACAGAAACAGGACCATAGAAATTCCATAGCCAATACAGCATGTGATCTGTAAAGAGAAAGAATGTTATGAAGGGTTCTTTTAAGCGACTGTTTTTCATTTACAGATGGAGTTGGACACAATGCATGTTTCTATTTGCTATTTAATGCAAGCTGTGTCTGCTTCTTTCCTACACCTGCGGAAAGTCACTGTGACCAAACGTCAGTCTAATATCTCTCCCAACTATACAGTTGGTCCAACAAAAGATATCACCAAAAAATCCTTGCCATTAGGGAGAAGTGCACTGATGTGAACAAATTAAAAGCTAACAGGTAGGCGCCTACTTCAGTTTAAAATGGCATACGGAAATGCTTTGAGAAAAACAGATCAAAAACCAACCATTTAAGTGTAAAGTACTTTGTACATGTTGCTAAAATTTATTGCCAGTATCTCCATTTTACAGGCAGGGAAACTCAGACTCACACAAGAGAAAAAGACCTAGTGTAAAACTCACAAAGATTCAGGTATTGTTAAAGATATACCAGTAACAGGCAGATTTACCATCTTTCTGAAGGGGATAAGATAAACCTCTTCCTACATTCTGCGTTTCTCTAATTTTCAAAAAGACACATTCTTTTCAGGGACCAAAATCATCTCATTTACCAGAGAGAATATGAGAGAAACATCCCAAAAATATTGTTTGCTCATTGCAAAATACATCCCAAACACGAAGATGAGAAGAATCCAGGTCAAGGAAGTGTCCACCAGTGCCTGTCCACACCAGTAAGCTGAAGGGAAGAGCCCAGAGATACGCAGCTGAGACCGAGCTTTTCTCTAGGAATGCATGACAAGAGGAAAAGTGGCATTAAGGAGTTGTTTTTTTTAAACAGTCACTCCCATTGCTGACTGGGTGCTTAAAAGCAGCTCAGGGTATAACACAACTATCATATTGCTTATCTTGCTCATTCTGCTACATTCAAAGTACTTTTCATTTTCACTCTCTGCATTGCCTCTCCTTGCTCCTTCCCTCTGTCCGTGTGTATACGCTTCTCATTCTAACTCCCTGTTAATTTTTTGTTTGTTTTAGTCTCTTCCTTTTCCCATCTCTCTGCAACTTGTCTGAACAAGAGCTGAAATATCATGCACTGAGAAAAATCACGCACTCTGAAAGATTGATTTTCATTTCCTTTAGCTTTCATTAGCTGAGATCTAAATGAGTTAAGAAGTTACCAGGCTTCCTGCTTTGGTAAGTATTTATTAAAAAAAACGCAGAGATAGGAATTCTTGATGCAAATTTGAATGAGCCTCCTGTGTCTAGAAGGACTACAGACCAAATGGATACATCCAGAAATCACTTGGCCAAATGAAACTCTCCCTCAGTGAATTTCTCATACATCCTCACTCAGCCATCCCTTTTCTTCCTTCTCTCTCAACATCAGTTTACTGTAAAAATATTTACAGCTAACTTAATGTATTCACCAGAAACAGCCTAGTCCAGTGATTCTCAAACCAGTGCCTTGAGATCCTTTCAAGGGTGACACAATGTTTGCACTGTTAGGTGCAAGGTAAAGTCAGAGATTTCAGATTGTTTTTAACACAGTGAATTCCTTGGTGACTTGTGATCTTTGGCTTCTTTGCAACAGAAAAATTGCTATACTATTTTTCTGTAGTAAAAAAAGAGTGAAAACAAAGTGCTGACATTTTTCAAGGAGTGCCTTATGTCTAAAAGGATTGAGAACAACTGGTCTAGTCCTGTGCCTACACAACTGTATTTTCTTCTTTCTACATAAAGCCTTCTACAAAGCAAAGATTTTACCTTGTAATCCTGAATGTGATTCATTGTAAAGTGAGGAAAGAAGCCAGGAAGTAAAAGCAGCATATAGAGAAGGAAGAAATTAACAAAATAGTCCCAGAATCCGTCATGTATCTGGAAAATAAATTATAAAACATTTGAAACAAAATGTCAGTATTGTAGATATTGAGATATTCTGTGTGGCTGGGTTTGTACAATACTAGATATACACAAGTTGTTTTTCTTGCAGGCCTAAACACAAGAGCATTGGACAGAAAGGGACCTCCTGGGTACAGTCTCCTCTAGATCAGGCACCCTCATCTCGTTGTAAAATTCTGTTTTGCTTAGGTCTACCAAAAGTATAACTACACTGAGGTTGGTACTGGGTTTGAGCAGTCCAAAAGCCTTATCAGACATAGAAAGTCATCCAGGGCAGAGATGTTTTTACCTAGGAGGAATTCATTGTTGGCTGCAACAGGGAGGCTCTGAAGTCATAAAACCTTAGCAAAGGGAATGCTGATCATGTAGTCGAAAATATGATCCTGGTATAAGAAATACTAAGTTACATGACAAAATGTCAGAGCCCTTAAATAAAATTGTATATTTGTGTCACCACTGAAGAAGTACAGTCTAGTCCTGACACTCCAATAAGTGACATCCCAAATACATTTGAGGGGAATTATCTGCAGAACACCAGGATTCTACTAGATTCCACTAGAAAATCCCAGCCTGGGGGCCAACTGCTCTCTAACATAGTCATACTACAACCATATTGATTGAATCTGGGTCTGGAGTATTACAGAAGAGAACCATAAACTAAGACTGCTGCAGTTACCCTCAGGGTCTATCTATTGACAGGCTGATACATGCAAGTGCAATCCTTCAATCAGCAACCACAGGCACTAACTAAAAGAACTGCATTTCTTTATTTTTGGAAGAGAAATAAACAATTCTACTCCCTTTTCTTGGAGTTGCCACTGTCCTCCTCCCAAATAGCTGGGAAATCTCAACTTCTTCACAGAGCTACCCACTGAACCCCACATCCTCTTACTATAGGACTGCAGAACTATGCCAGGGAAAAGCCTCCCACCCAGGCACCTAGTGCAATACAGTAGCTCTGTCTTATTGCACAGTCTCTCGGGAGAGAGATGCCCTTGCCTCCAAAGTATGATAAAAGAAAATACAATTTTATGTTAAATTAGCAAACTAGAATTTTTTACAACTTGGGCATGTCAATATTCCCAACATCCCTTATCAGGCTGAGGCTTAAGTCTACATTGTCTCCTTTCCCAACCCTTTCTTGAGTGGTGCAGCGGGGAAAGGGGAAGTCTTCCCTTCTCACTATACTTCCAAGAAAGCAAGAAGCTCTCATACCTTCTGTTTGTACCTGCAACCTTACATGTTGCCCCCACCCGCACTGCTACAAGGCCCAGTGGGCACTTGCCAAGAAAAGAAATGGTGCAAGGATTTATGAGGAAGAGCCAATGAACTTCCGGGGCAGATCTCTTCCCAGACTATGATAAAAGGGACTCATTTCAGCAGCTAAAGGTTGCAGGGCATTTTGATCTCTAAGGTCAGCAGGGCCAGCTTGCCTAAAGCCAACAGTGCTGGTTCTCCGTACACCAAAAATGAATGAGGACCTATATATATATTTGCAAAATAAAAAGCAAAACTGCTTCCAATTCAAAACCCGCACATGTATCGAGCCATTAGCTAATTCTTTTAAGACAATATGTACTTGAAACATTTCTGACAGGGAAGTTAGGACACTTACATTAAAAAATGGACTATTCCAGACTCGAATGTGCCCAGTAAAATTTGAAGCTGCCAGCAGCGCATTGCTAATGATGTTCATAAGCACAGGATAGCAGTTGGTTACTTCCAAGTGGCACAGAATGGTAAAGTTGTAGTTCTTAAGGAAAGCAAGACAAGATAATTGTTCCAAGGGGTTTGTTCATTTTTCTTTTCACAGTATAAAATGAGTGTATTATTCAACATCATGTGGGTTAGATCATATACTTGCAATATGCTCAGAGCAAGGACCATAAAGCTGTTGTACCACCCCAGAAAAATGACCCTCAGGGTTCATATACAAATCAGCAGAGTTTCTTGCTACAGTTGTGGCCTGATAGAGTTCAGATCATCCCTTTCTCCAGCACCCCGCCACCAATAGACTTTATTTTCCCAGCATCACTGTCTCTGTACTAGGGCTTTTGCTGACACTGTTGAGACTCTGAGATGGGGAAACCATCAGTTATATAGATTGCATATATCAAGGTCAATTAGAGTTTGGGGACAGGCAGTGAATTTGCAGTTTTTCAAACCTCCTAAATTATCCCTTCTTTGAGTTTGCAAATAGCTGACAACTCTTGAGTTAAAATCTACCCTCTTGATCTCAACAATGCTTCAAGGCAGAGAGGACACTTCAACACCTATTGCTGGTGCAGCCTATGTTCCTCAGTGCACTTGTACAGATCTGTCCTAGCCTGTCTGCTTCTGTAATGGGCTGGCACAAGGGTAGTGAAGAGCCTGTTGCCCTCAAATTTGCTGGAAACCATGGCATGGGTTACCAGCACAGTGGAGTGAAGGGGCAATTTTTGTGCCATGACATTCTGCCCCCCTTTCATCTGAAACATCCCTGAACAAAGTTCCTCACGATCTGCACTGGCACACTGGTTAATTATCAAGGGAAATTATTACCTGGTTGTCACGGGCAACCTTTATGGCTCCATTGTGCATTAACCTCTCCATTGTATTTTCCTTGCTGGTTATATCCAATGCTATGTTCTGCTTCTCCAGATTGTGGATGAAGTCATCAATGTTGGAGCCTGGAGGGGAGAGCGAAAACAGAGAAATCACGACACTGGAAGTTGTTCCTCAATAAGAGGCACCCTAAGTTGGTTTTCTGGCCTTTATGTTGACCAAAAGAATTTTGACTGCCCCAAAACACACACTGTCTTAAAAAAATACAACACATAGCAAGATGCTTTTTATTAATTCTTATAAGGAATATAAGCATCCTGCAATGCTTTCAACTCATGCTGTCACTCTGCTCATCTCCTTCAGAGTCTGTCATTGCTCCAATACTCTTGTCTTCCTCTCCCTCTATGTTGAATTTTCTTGTAAAGACAAGAAATGTATGGAGAGGGGAAGGGGAGCGGGGGGGATATACAGAAGAGCAGGGATGTAGCTGGGTGCCTGGGGCACAGGGGCAGTGGCAACTTCTGATTACATGGCTGCCAGCAGCTGCCACTTTCTTCTCCCCCACCACCCACCAAAGTCAGCAGTTTGGGCAGTTGCCCCATTTGCCCTGCCTTAGTTACACCACTGGAGATGCACATCAGACTCATGGTTCTGTTTTCTATTCACCTGTTTCATTAAGGATCAGAAGACTTGTGTAGTCCTTGTATTCCTTGTCAGCCTTCATTCCAAGAGGACGAAAATATAGAGCAGAAGACATCTCCCAAGATTTGTTAAGAAACCAGATGCCCATCAGGAGAAATTCCAAAATCAAAGGTAACAGAAGAACTGTAGATAGCAGTAATCTAAAGCAACAAACAGTTTCAAGTGCATTTAGACAGATATTTTGCCCATTTTTACCAACAGACAGAGCTAGGGGAGTTGCATGATAACAATCTTTATATCAAGAGTACCTAGTACTTACAATTAAAATGATCCTCACAACTGTGTTTTCAGAAGCTCTAAGAACAGGCCTTTAAAAAAATTATCAGGAAGAAAGTCCCCGGGGCCAAAGAAGTGCCTTTCTTTAACCCATGAAACATCATGTGCTTGAGTTCCTTAGGATGCATTTTTCTGAGACAGTTGTTGGCAGCCAATGTCATGAGATGCTCACCTAATACTGGTCCCACATCATAGGCAACTGCACAGGCAAACCTGGAAGCTGAAAGCCTCTTCCTGGGTGGGTGAGGGGGGTGGACAGGATTGTGGGAAATTACCCCTTCTCTAGCTCCAACATGTGGATCCCCTTCTGCAGATACTGTGAAGGTAAAAACCTTCCAGTGAGGCACAGGGAAGAAGATCTTAGAGAGAGAGAAAAACTCTCATGGCTCAGTCTCTCATCTCTTCCTCTGATGGGGAAGGAACATCCCAAATGCCCTGGTGGGAGGTTATATTATTAGTTTAGTAGCAAATATCTAATTGTATTAAAATTGAAATCAAATGAAATGTTTCCAAAAAGGGAAACATTTCATTTGATTTCTGCTTAATAAAGTAATATCTATAGCTATTTAGAGATAGACAGAGAGAGACATATGCATATTGGTTTTCTTCAAGGTAAGGTTTTCCTAAACAGCTGAGGGTCAGCTTTCAAGGCCAGGAATATCTCCAATCAAATACCTGCTCTGCAAGACATGCTCAGTTATGATTCCTTTATTTTGAATGATGAGAGACAGCACACGTGGACAGCTGTACGTGGAATGTCCTCTCACAGACCGATTTCAAATGAACAAGTCACAAATACTTTGGGACTTACATGGACTTGAAGGTTTTGCTTGCTTTCTTCTGCCTTAAGAGGTGAAGTCTTGCCATGGCACAGACTTGCTGTCTCCAGAGAGCCATGCCAGTTACAGCTGTCCTTTGAATGTCCGAGGGTGACAGATCTTGTTCTATTCCATCCACAGAAAAGAGCTCTTTTTCCTCTTCTGCCTGCTCCTCACTGAAGACGCCATCACCTAACAAGGAACTAGTGCCTAGTTAAACCAGTGACAAGACTTTTCTTCTACAGATAGTAAAACTAGAAGCCCTAGGAAGAACTCAGTGCAAAAAAGTATCAACCATTAAACAGCGCTTAACAGCACATGAAACATCCCTGCTTCTTTCAGCAATGGAAGAGACCTCATTTGAGAAGTGCTCTTGAGGAAACAATATAACAGAAACAACTTTAACACAAGAAAATGAACACACAAAAAATCCTTCTCCCTTGAACACTTCTGTACCCACTTACTCCTCCCATATCCTGCTCTACAGGCTGCCCATCTTTTTCCCTTCTTGCCAGATTTATATTATTCCAAGCCTGGTATAATAAATGACATCTGAAGAATAACATATATTTTGTTAGTGCTATTAGATTCAGCTAACTTTTAAGCACAGTGTGCTCTTCTCCAGTGAAAAATAACAACAAACTAACATATTTCATGAACTGTTTCTTACAATCTTCCGTTCTGTGAATAGTGGGAGATGTTGGTGGTTTCATATGTGGAAGAGCTCACTTAAAAAAAAATTTAAGGAGAATGCCACAAATTGAATTACTGAAGAAGGAATAGGGTTAAAAAGGGGAAAAAAGTTGGCTTCCGTGTTCATGTATCTTCTGAAATAGTTGCATATAAGACCTCCAGCCTAAAACCCGAGACAGTGGTTAGCTTCCTATTGACAACTGGTAAAGAACAGGGAGGAGTCACTTGGAGCAGATTGGGAACTCCAGACGTACCAAAACCTAATACATGAAGGACCTCCCTGCTAGCAAAGATCGGTGAGCCAGAGAAAGTGATCAGCGGGCCAGTCCTCCAAGGCATGGCTGAAAATGGTATGATCAGGCCCACTATTTTACCTTCAGCAATTGCCTCTTCTCCCTCCAGTTTCAGGAAAACGTCTTCCAGACTTGTCATGGTAACTCCATAATTGATAATCCCTTGGTCAGAGTGACTGTCTAGGCCACAGAACAGATCTGCATGATGGAAGGAACATGCATACTTTGAACTTATAAGACGACAATGCATCTTGGCCAAATCCTTACCTTAGGGACACGAATCTAGATCCAGAGTAATTCCCAGTACATATTGGTGCCCCTGAGAACAAAGTTCACAGATGACACAAAATTATGGGGTAAAATAAACACACTAGTGGGAAGGGATCGAATCCAGATGGACCTGGACAGGCTGGAAAAGTGGACAGAAAAGAATAGAAGGCAGTTCAACAACGACAAGTGCAAAGTGCTGTGTCTAGGGAGAAGGAATCACCAACACACCTATAGGCTAGGGGACAATCTTCTCGGCAGCACAGTAGCAGAAAGGGACCTTGGAGTCATAGTTGACTCTAAGATGAATATGAGCGATCAATGTGGCAAAGTAATCAGTAAAGCTAACCTCACTCAGTCATGCATCAGCAGGTGCATCATGAACAGGTCCAGAGAGGTGATCCTCCCCCTCTGTGCGGCATTGATCAGGGCACAGCTACAGTACTGTGTCCAATTCTGGGCGCCGCACTTCAAGAGGGATGTGGATAACCTCGAGAGGGTCCAGAGGAGGGCCACTTGTATGGTTAGGGACCTACAGGAAAAGTATTACGAGGAGAGACTGAAGGACCTGGATCTCTGAAGCCTCCACAAGAGAAGGCTGAGAGGGGATCTTGTGGCCATTTACAAATTTATTGGGTCGGGGGGGCAGCAACAAATTGGAGATGCTCTGTTTACCAGGGCACCCCTTTGAATAACCAGGAACAACAACCACAAACTGACAGAAAGCAGATTTAGATTGGACATTAGGAAAAACTTCTTTATGGGAAGGGTTGCCTGAATCTGGACTGGGCTCCCAAGGGAGGTGGTGCTCTCCCCTACCTTGGAAGTCTTCAAGAGGAGACTGGACAAGCGTCTGGCTGGGGTTGTCTGACCCCAGCACTCTTTCCTGCCCAGGGCAGGGGGTTGGACTCGACGATCATACCCTGTCTCCTAGTCATAGGCGAACCATGTAAACAGCTCTTTTACAGAAGTTTCCAGGTTTATCTTTTTTAGCTCATTTTTTATAATAAACTTCCACTAGAATGCAACGGCTTAAGAAAGAAGTGAGGGACTACAAGCTGCTCATCTTACCACCTGTATTAAACATTTAAAACAGAACCCGCTCCCCGACCCTTAAACATTTCTGTCCAGATTGAAATCTTATGTGCCTTATTGTGAGTGGAAGAAAAGAGCCCCTTCTGGTCTTAAACGCAGACTAAGAAGTTGCAAGGCATTCATGATGCAGTGCTCCCTCATCTGTCCGCTAAACTCCTGAATGTGTCCAAGAATCTTACAGAACTTCTTTTTTCGCACTTCTTTTTTATATTTACTAATGTACCGATGCTTTGCACTGTTGATTCCCACACACCTAAGAATATAATTACCTGGAAATTTATCCACTGTTTCTAATGGCAAAACATATTCCAGTTCATTTTCCCTCTGTCCTGAGAATGTGGCATTAGGGATGTACTCTTTGACCAAGGAGGTCATCTCCTCCGAGTGACAGAGCTCACTGGTACGCATCCTGTTCATGTTTAAGAAGCAAATGATTAACCTTTTAATTAGTAAAGTGTATTTTTCTATATATTGTAGAACACTAAGAAAGCAAAAAAATCAGTGGTCTTTCAGTCCGTATTCAGGAATAATATCTATCTTTTCCTGAAGACACTATTTTAACAGAACTTCAAAAGCAGGGTTTTATTTTATTGTTTTTAATAGGACTTTTCTGCTTGGAGAAATTAACACCCAGGAAGTCAGGGAGTAAATCTGCAGTATACTCACTACTGCACACTATTCCCTGGGTGGAGTTAACTACATTACACTTTCTACATGTCCTACTCTCAAACAGGAGCTGCCTTGCACAAACCCCTTCTTGTGTGCACTAAGGCCAGAGAGGTTAAGTGAGCTGAAAATTCATACATGAGCCTACTGAGGCAGTAATTTCTTAGCCTGTCTTATTTGGGTGTATTGTTGTTCAAAGCTGTTCTTGGTGCCTGCTAAACATACTGATGTGAAAGGTTAGTGCAGAATTGGTCTCGGTGTAGGTAAGTTAGGGTGACAGGATTGGTTGTCAACTATCTCATACATTAGATAAGGCATCAGAGGTGGTGGTTAGGAAAGAGAGCTAAGTAGTCAGCACCTCACATGAGGCTCTCAGAACTGGAAGGATCAGGCACCAAAAAGAAACTGCTTTAAAGACGGACAGCCAGAAGCATCCACTTTCTAGCAGTATTCACTATTGGGGTTCTTGGACTACAGCAGAATAAAGAGAATAACAGAACTGGCTGCAAGTGGAATCTGAATATCTTAAGTATTATATCATGGGACACCAGGATAAAAATTAACTACAAAAGTACATCGCTTATCATAATGGCAAACAGAGATTGTATGTGCTCAATAGAGCTGGTGAAGGACTCAGTTAAAATTTTAGGTGAAGGTTTGCTAGGTCCAGGGCAGAATTTCTGGATAAAAGGAGAAAAAGGCGTCACTTCACAATACCAAATAGTTAGGGTACTCCTCTGAGATAGCTAAGTTCTGGGTATGGACTAAAACAATGCACAATGATTTAAAAATATACCACGATTATTAATTTTCTTTCAGTCAGGGATAAGTCCTCCTGGGGCTTCCTTCCATTTACTGTGGGGGAAGAGTAAGTACATGGATCATTATCGTGGAGCTGCTGAAACGGTCCAAGTCCCAAACCATTTTAACTGAGAGAGCAGAGTTTTGAGTCTCTTCAGATCCCAAGGCATTGTCTGAACCATGCATTTGTTCTGGGAAGAGAAACCTCCCTCATTCTCCTGAGGGGCACTGAAAGACCTTCCTTTGATTGTGAAGAAAAGGAATAGGAAACTTTATGAAATCTTAAAAAAAAAATCAATAAACAGCTCTATTTTTTAAGAGGTGACAGATGTGTTGAGTATCTATTAAATATTTTTTGAATTTTTTTATCATTACTTCTATTCAGTTATTTTAGGAAGCATTTTACATGTGAATTCTCAGATGTTACCTGCTAGGACTGAAGTAATTGCCACTGAGATCTAAATTTAACGTGATAAGCATTTGCAATAACAATAATAATAATACCTTAAGTGATAACCAATCCCCCATTTTTTCTTCAAAAACAGAGATGAACCAACACATTTTAGCTTCCCATGTGAGATAAAGGCCTTGCGGTCTAAAGAAGAAGAAATACACAAGAATTTATGCTTCAGAGTTCACTCGTTAAAAGGCATTTTTTAATCAGGTCAGGAATAAAACTGAGAGTCTGAAAAAGAGTGTCAAGTCAGCATATGTAGAATGCTTATCAAATGATTTGTTACACATCATAGGACAACAGTTCAGAGGAGGGTTGGCAGGCCAAGATTATGGGTGAAGTAAATAATTTAGAAGTAAATGTAGAAGTAGGTTTGAAAGATGAATTAGGAGAGATGGATGCAGTGTGTACCTGGGGAAAATGGAAGACAACCCCATTTGTAGTACATGATTTTTTAGTATTATACCTACGTATCCAAGCTGATGTGGTTTGATATAACCGACTTAAAATTCTCCTCTTACTTGAAAACGGCATACACACCAGGAAAAATACCAAGTTTCAGACAGACATTATTTCACATAATTAACAGCACCAATTTATGGTGGACTTGGACACAGAGCAGCCTCACTGTTTGGTGAATGAGAATGAAAGCTCTGAATTGCCTCAATGAAGTTCAGCAAGATTTGTGTTTAGTTAAGAGGGCTGAATTTGCAGTCCTTACTGAGAGACGGCATTTATCGAAAGCGGTGACAGTGAAATCCAGGCTTTGTTGAAGTCACTGGCAAATCTGCCCTTGATTCAGTGGGGCCAAAATGTCATTGTAAAACTCTAATTCCAAATAAGGACTCAATGCACTAAGCTCAATTCAACAGAAAAACTCTGCTTTTAAGCTCTTACTCTACCACAGTGAGAAAGGCAGTGCTCACCTGCCAGGATATCAGCCTCATGCATAAACCGTGTACTGAACAGAGTCACTCGACCAGCTTTACTGTCTTTCAGCAGGTTCCACACCTGATACTTGGAAAAGGAATCCATCCCAGCAGTTGGCTCATCTAACAGCAGAACCTGCAATGAGGAATCAAAGCGGACATGTGCAGTGTTGCCAAGTCTTATAATTGTAAAGCATCAGACAAAGTGGGTTGCTGTCTATGAAGGTCCACGTCTCGAAGCCAAACTCATGATTTTTGTATGTTTGTTGATAGAGCAAATGGATACAATTGGAATGATGAGTTCTTGGTTTATGTATGGATATTTACATACTTTTGGCCTCTGAACTTTCTTTTCAGGATATTTTGATAGCTAAGTCTTATCAAATAAGTCTGATTAGCATTTCCATCTATTTGCCTAATATTTTTTGTCCTGAAGATAACTTGTATGCATTTAACAGGTTATTGCTTTTGCTTCCATATCCTTTGCTTCCTAAACTTGATTGTAGTCCATATTTTTGAAACAGACATTTTCAGCTATTTTTCCTGAACTCAAGATATTGAGTGGAGGACATGTAAAAACTTGTCACACATACACATACACAGGATTTGATCCCACAAAGACTCATATGTCTAATCATGAACGACACATGCCCCTGGCAGCTGTGGGGGGGGCCGGGCTGCGCTGGCAGTGGCAGGAGCGCGGCAGTGATAAGCGCGAAGCTCCTGCAGATGCCACCGGCGCTGTCAGTGGCGGGGGTGGGAGGTTGCGAGCACCGACCAGAGGTCAGCAACCACTTGCAGGCAGTGCCTTTTTGTAGGGGGTGCACTGCCACGCTCAGGGGGTACACATGTACCCATGTGCACCCCCTATGCGTCACCCTTGTGCCTAATTTTTATCCCTTTGAGCAATGCTACTGTAGTCACAGGAACACTCACCGTTAGTACATCCATAAATCTTCTGAATGCCATGCCTTTATATAAACATGCATACCTGCACGCATGCACACATACTATGCACACGCACACATGCACACATCCCTTAGCTGTACCTGAATTCTTCATTTTTACCTGGGGATTTCCCAACATGGCAATACCAAGAGATAAACTCCTTTTTTGTCCACTGCTTATTTTATCTGCTTGTTTGTCCTGTATGTGGATCATATCCAACTGTGTTAAGACATTTTTCACCTAGAAATATGCACAAAATAAATTACAAGTATTAGTTTCACTTCCTGATGTCACTATTCCAATATCACATTCTAGGTCGCAGTTACATATCACTGCAACGGTTAACCATCTCACACATAAGTTGGCAACATGCTGGGAGTGGTTTCATTAGCAATCAGAGATGGAAAACAAAGAAAGCTGTAGAAATGATTTTTATTTCAATATGCATACAAACTAATGCTTCATGCTACTTATCTTAGGTGCACATATCTCATCCCTGATTGCAAACCAAATAGAGATGATAATGAGATAATCTTTACTCTTTTCCTTGCTGCCCTTGGTTATTACCATGGCACTACCATAGAGGGGAGTAAGAAATGGGGTCTAAGGTTTAGTAAAGCCAAAAAAGGGTACATGAGATTAAATAAAAAAGAGAGAGTAATAGGAAAGAAGCCAGATCAGGCACTGGAGCCTTTACAAAAATCCTATTAGATGCCTTTCTACATCCATAGCACATGGATACTTTTTAAAAACTGCACTGTAAGCTACTTGAGCAGGGCCCTCCTTTTTTGTTTGATGCTATGAGTAGCCCCTTTGAACCAAAGCCATATAAATTAGGAAAGACACAATAAGGAATAGTCAGTCATTTTATCAAAGGTTCTACCAAGCCTTGCACTTCAGGACCCCCTGCACCTGGGATATCTTTATAAATCTGAACTGCAGAACTAACCAAACTCTGCTGGCTGAGATAAGTATGCCAGCCTGGAAACGAATAAAGAGCGAGAATTTAAAAGGCATTTCAGTGCCTAAGGATGCACCTAGTAGGATTTTCCAAAGAAATTGGCATCAATTTTCAGACACATCCTAACTGCTGTTGATACTCAGGGTATCACCATATTTTTACACTACACAATTAAATTAGATGTTCAAAGGCATGTTCTCCAGTGCTGCCATGCAGTCAAGGTTCTTCTCCAATGAAGAACCACTCACCTCACACTCTGCCTCACTGGACAGGATCCCTTTGATTCCAGCAAAAACCTGCAAATTTTCCTTCACTGTTAAAGCTTCAAACTGGAGATCGAATTGTGGACAGAACCCAATTCTTTCTTTGATTCTATCCCTGTCTCTCACTTCAGACAACCAGTGGTTAAATATGGTGGCAGAACCTGCAGCATAAACAGACACAAACATCAGACGAGTCCTTTGTTCATACCCCCCAACAGAGTTGAAATCAAGCCCATTCCACCCCTCGATTGACAGCATAGCATCATACCCTCAGAAGCTTCAGTGAGTCCACTAAGCACATTTAGCAATGTAGTTTTTCCAGCTCCACTGTGACCAAGTAATGCAGTGATCTGGCCTTCATAAATATTTAAGGACAAACCTAAAATAAACACACAACACCCTGTTAGAATAAGGGTTAGTGAAGGAAGTTAAGTCTCTATGCGTCTCTTTGTGACCCTTGCCAAGAAATATCATTTTGGCCAAAGCTGACACAGGCAATGTCAGAACTACACAAATTAGTTGTGCATTAGGATTGCGGGTCCTATCCAGTTGTATGATATTTGGTATTTACTGGAAAGGGGCACTGCAGAGAAACGAAAAAAAAATACTGACACTTTAAAAATGATCATTTCACTTCTCCTAGAACAAAGTATGCTCCCTTTTACTTTTAGGAGGCACAAACAGCCCCTAAAAACTGAACAAGTAAGCATCAGTCATGTTTTGAGATATTCATTCAGCAATTATGACAAGTGCAATTGTTTTAGTTTGATCGTATGATTTCAATATTTTTACATATTGTTGGAAATGTAGCAGGGATTAAGTGTCCCAATGAAAATATCTGCATTGCCTTTGTAAGCTTGTGAAAGCTGAACTTGGATGCATCCTCTCAAAATAAATTAAAAAACCAACAACAAAAAAGCCTTAATATTCCAGAATGTATTTAATTCATTTGTAGGTAAAACAGAAACAAATGCTCCAGGAAACCTTTGTACCTCTCAACACTTCTACTTGCTTCTCCTTCTTGCCATATGTTTTTTTAATATTGCTGATCCTAAAGGAAGGATAAAGAAATTATTGTTAATATTGCAACAGAGCAAGTTAGTTTCTCAGGGGTTTTTTACTGATACCTAAAGATCTGATTCTCCATTGCCTTGAACCTTGTCCCTCCATTCGCACAGGCAGCAGGACACACTTCATTGTCTTAGTAATGCCCTGCCCCCAACCTTTCACAGAGTAGCTATCTATACCTTGTGCAAGTCCCAAGAAGGTGAGCCCTTTCATATAGAAAAGTCTGAATGTGTTGTAATGATCTTGCCCTTCTGCCTTTGGAGGTGCTGGGCATCATGTTCCAGATAGACTTCCGGTAAAATGCGTGTGGCTTCTTTCAGCCTTTGCTGCTGTTATTTTTCAAGGGAGTTTTCATATTAAGCCAAATATGTAGGTTATCTTAATCCTTTCCTTTTTGAGTACTTTAACCTGGCTCTTACTTTCATTTCAACCTAACTCTCTACCTTTTCCTTAGTGAAATGAAACCAACCTTTGAAGAACACAACTGAGAAAACTGACATAAGGCAAAACTGATAAAAAGCACAATAGCATGTTTGCTGCTCCAGTTTCCAGATGTAATATGTAGCTACAGACGAAGTTTCATGTACCACATTGTACCTGATGGCTTCCTTTTCAGCAAATTCTGGAGGCACTGGTTCCACATTATCACCAAAAGCATGATCACAGTTTTGTTCAAATTCAGATCTCCCACTATCATAACGCCGCTGGCTTTTGACCCAGTATGACGACTTCAGGAAGAACAAAGGGGGATATGGTGTTCCATATTTGTCTGATTACAAATCAAAGAACACGGCATTTTAGCAGAGGAACCTGTTTACGAAACATTTGTTCACATCACTAAACACTGTGAATCAGATTTTTAAAAGGATTGAGACACCTAAAGACAGAGACAGGCACATGACGATATCTTCAACAGTAGGGCTGTGCGAAATTTTGCCGGGCGTTTCGTTTCAACGCATTTCAAGGTCAAAACAGCGAAACTGAAATGGAACAAAAGGCTTTGAAAGAGCTTCGAAACAAAACGAGGGCATTCAAAATGTTTTGAAAGTTTTTAAACATTTCCAGTTTCGAAGCTGGGCTTGCAGATCAGGCAAGAAATCCAAATCAAGCAAGAAACAACATCAGACATTTTCCTGATTTTCCGTTACAGGCTATGGGTGAAACGTCAAAACGCGTCAAAACAGTTTTGATGAAACAAACTGGAACAGTGCTTTGAAATGAAATGAAACTAAATGAAATGAAACACTGTCCCTTTGGAATGGAAGTCGAAACGAAAAGGTGCTGTCTCGCACAGCCCTATTCAACTGTACAGAGGTACCTGACTCTTTTTGAAAAGCCAACTGCAGGAGCCCAGGTTGCATCTTCAGATACATAAAAACCTTTCAAAGTCTGACCATTAGCTGAGAGCAGTGTTTTTTAATCTAGCTGTGCCTTGAGATCTGCTCAAGAGTGCTGTGGGGTGCCACACAATGTTAGTACTGTTAGGTCTACAAACATGATTTATAAGATAAACCCAGAGATTTCAAACAGAAATCCACTGTTGTGGTCTTTTGAGGTCTTTGCAACAGAAAACATGCTCTATTATTTTTCTGTAGTTAAAAAAAAAAAAAGAGTGAAAACTATGAGCTGGCATTTTCTAAGGGTTGCCTCAAGTCTCAAAGGTTGAGAATCACTGGTTTAGAGCAGTGCTGTGTACATATTCTCTGCCATCACTGAAGTCAGACAAGCAGCAGCGCCCTGAGCCTGTAGACAGGGTAAAGGGTTTTGACCAACACAAGGTGTGTCAAGGCAAGAAGGGGGACATCAGAATGTCTTCTTATGAAAAGCGATATTCATTTCATGAAAACAATTAATCTGTTTTCTTGAAATCCTTCATAGTAACAGCTGTATATGGAACAGATGTAAGTGAGTAACTCTATTCACCATTCCCTCACTCTTCTAAGTTCTTCAGAGCAAAAGTCTTGTTAGGGCTGTACATTATCAAGCACTGGAGCTTCTTTCATTTATGTGCAAAGCTATTCATTCAGTAGGTTCAGAAACAACATCTCTGACCTCCAACCCATATGTTTGCTTTATTCATCATTATTGTCTGTACTGCCTCGAAGCAATTATGGGTTGAGTATAAAAGAGACAAGTGATAGGAACCAATGTGTTTTGAAGTACCAGTAAATGTATATATGGCTTAGTGAAAAGTCTGCTTACCAGGCAAAACCTTGTCAAAATAGACAGCCAACAGCATATACAAAATTGAGTCAATAATCAGGATGATATAAATTTTAAGTAAAAAGGATGATTCATCCATTAGGTTAGAAAAATAGAAGCCTATTCCATACTGCTCTAAGTGAAAAACCTGCAAGAAAAGAAAAAGTATAAACAATCTTCAGTTTAAAAACCATCCCCAGAAAATAAAAGAAAAT